CGCTCGAAAGCCTCCGAACCGAGGAGGTAGGAGACACTCCGCCCGCCCCATCCCCGCCTACCTTCCCCGGGCCATCTTCATAATGTCCGCGGCGAATGGCCGAAGTGGCGAAGCGACGAACGGCGGCGGCCCACATGGCGAACAAGAAACTAACGGTACAACTCTCTCTCTCCCTCTCTCAGAAGCGACCTTCGCAACCGAGGGAAGAAACTTTCACCGCGAGGTATTATGGGGCGGGGGGAAGTACGGCGGCCGGAAGGGGGGAAGGAGAGCGGAGGCCTCATGGGATTCGTAGTTTCGTTGCGGTGGCGGCGGCGGCGGCCTTTTCGGAAAGGCTTTTCTTGTCCTCCCGGGCATCCAAACGGCGCAGGGTCGGAAGAGGGGCTTGAGCCTGGTGGGAAGGGCTGAGAGCGGCTTCGCCCCGTCCGTAGCTTAAGCGAGGGAGCCCCGCATTCTCCTTGGCAGGGGCGAGCACATGTTGCTGCTGCTCCTGATAATCATTACCTGGCTTACATCGAGAAACTTGTTCTCCTCCTTCATCCATCGAAAGCCTGAGCGGAGGCGGGGGAGAACAAATGGCATCCTTATTTCTGGATCGCCTTTCTTATCGCGCTGCCTCCAGACACAAGGGCTTGTCGACAGACATAAATCACACTCGGTGTGTGCGTTTGTGTGTGTGTGGGGGGGAGTTCGCTGCTACCAAGGGCCTTTGCCTGAAAGCATCAACAGGCAATTGGTGTATACAGTAGCTGCAACTATTGTAGGTGGCTATATATGGGCAAGACATGAGCGTTTGTCATCCTCCTCCTAAAACTGTAGCGCTGGAAGGGTCCCTGTGGATCATCGACTCCAGCCTCTGTTAAGGAGGTACGGTGGGGAATCGAACTCCCACCCCTGGATCTACAGCTAGGTGGTGAAATTAAAGCAGGTCACAGGCTCCACAGTGCAGCCAAACAAGAACAGTGGTTCACTTTTATTCTGTAATACACTGCTTAGAGAACCAGATGTGCCATAGGATCGCCTTTGATTCATTAAATATTACTGCTGTCAAGTCAATTCAGACTGATGACACACTTTTTTAGGGTTCAGAAGGTGTACTGTATAGCATTCCCTTCTGGGAGTGTCCTGGGATTGGGTCATATTACTGCTGTCAAGTCAATTCAGACTGATGACACACTTTTTTCCGGTTCAGAAGGTGTACTGTATAGCATTCCCTTCTTCTGGCGGTGTCCTGGGATTGGGCCGCTTGCCCAAGGCCACACAAAGCTGGTTCTTTCCCACACAATAGGAAATCAAACTCTCAACCTCTGTCTCAACAGCCAGATACCTAAACCACTGAGCTATCGAGCCAGCTCAATAAATATTAGCTAGGCTAAATTATGGACTTAGTACATGAGTTTTAGCATGATTTCCGTCATCTTTGGAAGTTTCTGTTTTTGCACCAATTATAATTAGCACATAGATCACAAAAATTAACAGCCCTGCACATTTTGTGCAAAATTCCTAGATTGTCCAATTAGCACATAGATCACAAAAATTAACAGGACTGCACATTTTGTGCAAAATTTCTAGATTGTGCAATCTTAGGACCACAGCTGAAAGGATCTTCAGCACATGCCATTTATATGTTCATACACAGATGGGAACACAGTCTTGCATGTGTGCCTTTAACACAGGCAGTCAAGGGGGAGCATGCCCTTTATCTAGTAGTCCTAACTTGACAATGTTCCATTTCACACATGCCTGAATCCAACAGATGGTTCTCTTCTTAGCTGCTTTCCCCTTCCCTTCCATTTTTTGCTCTCTGGAGAAAAATGTATGGAGATGTAGCTCTATCCTATATGTAAGAGGAAAGAATAGAAGCATGTACTGTAAGAAAAAGCATTGCTTTCTTTAATCAAGAAGTATCCAGACTGATAATTTCTTTTCCTTTTCAAAGGAAGGATTATGAGACACGATCATGCTTTTCTCTCTACCAGAAATGGCATGACCAAATTCACAATCCCTCCAAGAACAACTGGGAGTACAGTTCAATTAAAGACAGTGGCCAAAATCCTGTTATGTAAAGTTACTCTGGCATAAACCGGATCCAGCACTGGAAATTTAATTTAAATTTAATTTAAATTTAAGTTTAATTTAAATAAACTGAAAGCTTCCTCTTTCCCCACCATCAGTTCAGATTCCAATGCGCTCAATTCACAATCCCTCCAAGAACAACTGGGAGTACAGTTCAATTAAAGACAGTGGCCAAAATCCTGTTATGTAAAGTTACTCTGGCATAAACCGGATCCAGCACTGGAAATTTAATTTAAATTTAATTTAAATTTAAGTTTAATTTAAATAAATTGAAAGCTTCCTCTTTCCCCACCATCAGTTCAGATTCCAATGCTCTCTGTTGTTGTTGTTTGTTGTTTGTTGTTGTTGTTGTCATCTTGCTCTTATTAGGAGCCATCATATAGTTCCTGACTGATGGCAATCCCATGAACGAGCAAACTCCAAAATGGTTTGTCCTCTATAGTCCTGCTCAGCTCTTGGAAACTCAAGCCTGATATTTTTTAGGGAGTCAGTTGGTCTCATATTTGGGCCTTCCTCTTTTCCTTCTACCTCCCATCTCTTCCAGCATTATTGTCTTTTCCAAAGAATCCTGTCTTCTCAGTTTCAACATTTTTCCCTCCAGACACTGTTCAGACTTGAATCCAGTTGCTAATCCAACTTGAAGTACTCCTACTGAATTAATGGGATTTACTGTATAGACGTTTGCCATTCTGCTTTTAGGTGGGCTGTCCTGTTTTTAAATATTTCCTCTAACCTCATTACCCTACTATTGAGAGAATAAATCTTCATTTAAAAACAAGCTATTTGTTAAGGAGGTCTGAGGGGTTGACAGTTTGTAGCAATTATTTATCCACAACACACTCTGGTTTTATAAAAATGTGTACAACATTGTAAATAATAGCTCATTGCATTTTGCATGCAGGGGCAGCAAATATTTCCCCATCCACCCATATGCACACGCTGAAAGGCGACACAAAATTTCATTTCACAGCTGGACACTCCAGAACTGCCCACAAAATTTCATTTCACAGCTGGACACTTCAGAACTGCCAGGTTGGTTTTTGTTTTGTTTTGTTTTGTTTTGAGAACCTGAATGCAAACACTGGCAGTTTTGCAACTGTGCCCTAGCTTCATAGGCGATCCAGCATAAGAAGATTGCGTAGAGAGTGAATAGAGTTTTTAGCCCGCCAAATTAGATCAGACAAGTCTGAAATATGCCTCAAGCTAAATGCCTCAGTTTTCATTAGTTTCTGCAGCTTCTAAGAAGACAATGTTCCTTACCTTAGTTGGTAAAACAAACAAACAACAGTGTATTCGAGTTCCCCAGTGATGTAGTGCATTGTATGATCTGTGAATGTCAAATCTTCCAGATGCAAGGCAGGTAAGAACAGGTGGCAGAATAGTGAACTTACGATGAGTCTGTAAACCTCAGAATTCCCAGTCTGATGAAGGGAAAGGGGCAGCGAAGGTCCTCTTTACTTGCCTGATTTCTTAAGAATACAGTGGTGCCTCGCTTGATGACGTTAATTCGTTCCAACGAAATCGCTGTAGAGCGAAAACGTCAAATGAAATAAAATCAATTGAAACGTATTGAAAACCGTTCAATGCATTCCAATGGGCTGAATACCTGCTTGTCCAGCAAAGATCCTCCATACGGCAGCCATTTTCTGGTGCCTGTTAAGCGAAAAATCAGTCCTAAAAACAGTGGGGGGCCATTTTCTGCAGCTGTTTGCTGATCGTCGTAAAGCAAAAATTGGTTCCCGAAGCAGGGAACTGATCATTGTGAAATGAAAAAAACCCATTTAAACCATCGTTTTGCGATCGCAAAAACTTCACCGTTAAGTGGATTTATCGTAGAGCGGGGTAATTGTCCAGCAGGGCACGACTGTAATGACATAGGTGTTTGATATTCTTATAGTCCTGCATTGAGCAGGGGGTTGGACTTGATGGCCTTATAGGACCCTTCCACTCTTCCATGATTCTAAATGTGTTCTCCATGGCAGGGTTTTGCATTCCTGATATTGCCACTAATTAAGAAATTATGCACTCTTGCTCACATGCACAAGTGTGCAAAGAAGGGGCCATTAGGAGGAAACAGCTGCGTGACTGCTTTCCACGTGAGTTTTTTCTCCAGTTGGATTTTGGCTTAAATCAATACAACTGAAACCAGTAGAATGTGTACTTACGTAAATATAATCATGATTATGGTTGCAAAATGCTGCTTAATACCAAAGAAGACTATTTGCCTATCTACTTGATAATAAAAACTCTGGTAAAATTTCTCCAGAGAAGAGTCAGAGGCTGCTCTATCTTTAAACCTGATCTTTTTACCTGGACATTTAAGGAACTGAGCATATAACCTTTTCCATGGAAAGTATTTGTTCTACCAGCATCTCTTGTATGCTATGTTGGCAAAAGAAAATTGCAAAAAATGTACCACTTTTAAAATGAACAGTATTGTTTCAGTGTGAGGTTTTGTAGATCACAGCCCACTTTCTCTGACAGAAGAGTGCAAATACGTGGCCTGTTTATTTATACTGTATATTCATTAACACAGCAGTGGAACTATCAAGTTGTTATAGTTACAGGATGATGAGTTGTTAAAATAAGTAGTGTGGAAGGATGCCTTGTTCTCCATTTAAGCCTTTAGAGATGATTGGATTGTTTTCTTTTAGCCAGTTTCTGCTGTCTCTCTTGAGTCTCCGTTTGTAATTCTTTTTTGTTCTGATGGTACCCACTTTGAAATCCACAATAGACTGTATGTACTGAGACCTAAGTGCTCTGAAACAGGTTCTCCATACCTCATCTCAGATTTGTATCCATTCATTCTTTTCTACAGTGATTGCACTCTATGTCCTATGTGAAAAGCATTGGCACCCTGCTGGCAGAAGACACTAGAAAGCTCATTAGAAGATGAGCAAGTGAATAGATCCCTGATGCTGTGGCTGACGTGGCTGGTACCCTTAATAGCACTGCCAGTGTAGATACCTGGCATCTAGGTTGGTGTCTGGCACTTATTCCTATCTCTGTTCATGTTCTTTTGCCTCTTGTGTGTTAGCAGCTAAGTTGGGAGGGGGGCGTTGTCTGTGAGCAAGTATGAGCTGGTCCCCCAAAGTCTAGGAGAGGGAAATGTTGTCTAGATCACTGGTTCTTAACCTTGGGTTACTCAGGAGTTTTGGA